TAAAATCACATGCAAATAATAAGAAGAGTCAATTTATGACCTCCACAAAGTAAATGAAAGAGTCTAAAAGCTTCTCTCCAAAAGAGGAAACATGCGAGTCAGCACATGGCTTATGCTTTGCATATACGGAGTACATCACATTCACATTTATTTACATACCACCAATACCTTTTAAAAATTTTAAATATCCTTTTTAATTTTTTATAAATACTTTAATATGGAGTAGTAATAAATAAATACATGAATAAATTAAATTAAATACTTTACGTACGATGTAAAAAAAAAAATTGAACAAACGTACGAAGCAAATTAAATAAATAAATAGTTTCAAAAAAAAAAAAAAAATTAAACAAACAAAAAAGACTTGATTTCCTTGATTTTTAATACTTATTTAAAAGAGAATCAACGGTTGAGATATGATTGAAATCAAAATTCCAACAAATACATTTACCTTGATTTCGATGATGTCAATTAAAGACAGAGACACTGCATTGCATGCGGTCCCAATTTTACTGTTACAATAGGCAAAGTAATTATTTTTTAATTCCAAAAAATAAATAAGAGTCCAAAAAAAATAGATTTATTGTCGGTTTTTGTGTCTTTTAGTGAGCTTTTTCAAGATTTTCATATTTTTACAAGTAACTGACAAAAGTGGTCGTTTCCTTTTCATTATTTCAACGAGAAGAAGTGGGAGGATCTGTCTTGCCTTACGTACTCCTTGTGTTTGGGATTTCTATTCTATCGTATCCGTATGAAGATGGATTATACGAAGTACTCCGTACGTAAATAATTTATTGTACTCGTAGTGTAATTGGTTACTCGTATATTTAAACTCGGTTGAAAAACTATTTTAATAAAATAAGTTTTAATAATGTCTAATAAGTAAAAATTAGGTGAATATAATACTCTCTTAAATTACTTCAGTATCGTATAATGGTATATTTAGACACTAACCTACCTTCCATACCATGTACTAAGAGTTTTTTACATTTTTTTTTCAATATTTCTTTAATGAGGATGTGTCTTACTCAAATGGTTTCTATGATTTATATTTGTATTTGATGTACTCCATGATGTATGATGATATAATGTTTAAATATAGTTAATAGATTTTTAATTTAAAACTGAATTAAATTCATACTCCCTTCGTCTCATAATATAATTTTTATACTGTTTTTTTCACTGTATTTAAGAAATGGGAGGAGAATTGAAAAAAGTATATTAAAAGTGGAAAAAAACTAGACTAAAATACAAGGGAAGTGGATAATTTAGGGAGGAAAAAAAAGTGAAAAGTACAATTATAGTTAGAGAGAGAATATGGAAAAAAGTACAATGCAAGTGGAAATTTAAAGGTAAATTAGGATGTTCAATGAATATAATGGTATATACATACTATCCAAAAATAGAAACAGAAACAACATTTTTGGTCTCCAAAATAGGAAAATAAAAACTATATCGTGGAACGAAGGGAGTATTATTTTTAAGTTTACTTTTTGTTCACAAAATTGTATGAAGCATGTACACAATATTTTACTTTGAAAACATACACAATCCAAGTTTAAAGTTAATTTATTTTAAGATGAGTTTCTTATTTTTGAACTCTTTTAAACTTGTGTTGGAGTTCAAGTTGCCTCATAAAAACCTCTTTATTAATGAATCATATCGAATTAACTCTAAACAAAGTACACATTCTTTACATTTTTTTTTTTTGACATATATTCTTTTACACTTCAATGAAAGCAAAATATTCTCAAATATCTTTCAATAAATTCTTTTGTTAATTCATTTATATAACAATCAAAGTTAAATTATTGCTACGATAAGTCAATAAGCCAACCATGCCTAGTATATTAATTAATCTTAAATTTACTTGTAGTAAATACACAAATCAAGGTAGCAATATGCACCACCTCTTCACATATAATTAAGGGGACCAATTACAAACAAGATTCGTCGTATAAACAAATCTTCGAATCATCTAGTCAAATAAATTAGTACTCTGCATAACTTAATCAAAAATGCAAATCTATCATAAAAACATACGAAAAGCACTACTATTACGTGTTTGACTCGGCTCAAATCCAAATTAGTCAAAATTCAACCTTCCTCGCTACATCGTAAAGTAACAAATGAGTTACTCCAATAGGATAAAACCGTAGTATAGTCCACTGCAAAACCACCTGATACAAAAAAAAAAAAAAAAAAAAAAAAAAAAAAAAAAAAAAGCGGGGTGGTGCAGCCTGTATCCGTTATACCTATTTTTCAAAATTCAAACAATTTTCTCTCTCCTCTAATCCCATTCCCTGCACATTACTCCACAACTCCCCACTAAACTAAACCCAAATACCCCACTTTCTTCCTTCTTCATTGTTTTATCCAAGATTTCAAACTTCCCTTTTCTCACACCTTTCTCTCTCCTCTCCACATTACAATTTGATTAAATTTTCATTGGCTCAGTTTCTGCCTCCTCTGTTTTCTTCCTTTAACAACCTCTAATTCTCTCTTCAAGTACAACATTTCCTATTTTTCTCTCTCTTCAAAATCTTCACTTTCTTCTTCCTCTTCAAATTTACAAAAAAGGGTTCTTTTCAAACTAAAAATTCACCCATTAAATCTTTATTTATTTCTCTGTTTATCAAAATTCCCCTGTTTTTTTTTACTCTGTTTTCTCTCTACTCTAAATGGGTGCTTCTGGAAAATGGGTTAAAACCCTTATTGGGTTTAAAAAACCAGACAAAGATGATCACTCCCATGTAAATTTTCCAATTTTCCCAGACTTTTATTGATTATTTTCATTTGTTTGATGAAAAAAGTTCTGATTTTTGAGATTTTTTTTTTAAATTTTTTTGTAGGAAAAATCAGGGAAAGGGAAGAAGTGGAAGTTATGGAGGAGTCCATCAGGAGATTTGAATACATGGAAAGGGTTTAAAGGTCGTCATAAGACAACAGCTTCAGAGGGTTCGGATTCGCCGTGTCGAAACGATGCGTTTAATGCTGCTGTTGCTACTGTTGTTAGAGCTCCTCCTAAGGATTTTCGTGTTGTTAGGAAAGAATGGGCTGCTATTCGTATTCAAACTGCTTTCCGTGCTTTTTTGGTAATTTTATCTCTTACTCGTCATTGTAATTTATTACCGTACATCATGTTGCATTATGATTTAGTTGTCGTGTTATTAGTTTAAATTACACGGTCAACGCGTCAATGGAACTGACATGAGAATAGTTTAGTCATATGAAATAAATTCAAAATTATTGGATTTTTATTCCATGGTACGGAGTGGTTTTTACTGTTAGTAAAAATGTTCAGAAGAGTGGCATTTTGGGATATTGAGGTTAAAACATAGTGTTAAATGCACATTTATTCATGTTGTGCTAAGCATGTTACAGTAATGTAAACTCATATTCAGGTTGGATGTGTTTGAAATTTAAACTTATACAGTGTTTTAAGAGAAAAGGATTTATTAATTGCTAATTGTGAAATTAATTCTTGATTAACATGCAGTATGCTGAATTTAAGAAGCAAGGTTAGCTAGATTTTAGGAAATGCAGTTTTTTAATTGGTTTGGTTGTGATAAAATTTGACCAAAATTTTTTTATTAGGCAAGAAGGGCTTTGAAAGCATTGAAGGGAATTGTGAGGCTGCAAGCTCTAGTTAGAGGGCGGCAAGTTCGGAAGCAAGCTGCCGTGACACTGAGGTGTATGCAGGCATTGGTTCGGGTTCAGGCACGAGTTAGAGCTCGACGTGTGAGGATGTCAATTGAAGGACAGGCTGTACAACAATTGATTGATGAACGGCGTACCAAGACTGAACTCTTGAAACAAGCTGAGGTTAAATCCTATTAAATTTGATCTAAATTATAAAAACAAATTGTTGGGTTTGAAGTTTTCTGATTTGCATAAGTTAAAAATTTTGTAGGAAGGATGGTGTGATAGTAAAGGAACATTGGATGAAGTGAAAACAAAGTTGCAAATGAGGCAAGAAGGAGCATTCAAAAGAGAAAGAGCACTTGCTTATGCTCTTGCTCAAAAGGTTCTGATTAACTAGTCTTTTCTATTTGCATACTAATACTAACATATCGCGAATTATTGTATTTACTGATAAAAATTTCTCTGAATTTGTTCAGCAATTGAGGTCATCACCCTTTTCAGGGTTTAAAACAACCTTTTCAACCCCTTCCCTAAAGGGTTATGAAATGGACAAGAGCAGCTGGAGTTGGTTAGAGCGTTGGATGGCAGCAAAACCGTGGGAAAACAGACTGATAATGGAAGAAGTTAATAGTACAGTATCTGAGGTGAAAACCCCACCTCCGAAAGCCTTTGTGAATCCTTTAAAAGAAACTTGCCCGAAATCTTCTGAACTTCAGTGCCAAGTTAAGGTCAGAAAGAACAATATGACAACAAGAATCTCAGCTAAACCACCCATGATGGCTCAAGGAACGCGGTCATCATCTAGCCCAAGTTCAGAATTTCCTTATGATGAGAGCTCGGCTTCCTCCTCTATGTGCACCTCTACAACTCCAATTTCAGGGAATGAGGAGAGTGGTGGGAATAATACTAATTGCAGTAGGCCGAGCTACATGAATCTCACTGAATCGACAAAGGCTAAGAGGAGAACTCAAAGGGCACAAATGCAGTCTATGGATGAGTTTCAGTTTGCAAAGAAACTTGCAGGATTCTCAAATGGAGATTCTAAGAGTAGCGCAGGCTCTGACCCTCCTTCTGTCAACTTCTCTAGGCCGCTTAACTTGCCTGCTAGTCGATTGGAGAAGAACTTAATGAGGCCAAGGGAAAGAGAGAACAACTTGTACAACTGAAGTAAAGGGTTATTGCTTTCTCTTGTTTGTTAAGGCAACAGCTTGTTGTTTTTGTAAGTCTAAAAACTTGAAGAAGCAATTTAAGCTTTTGGTGTTATTTTGTTTCTGTGATCGAGTTATCTCCGTAGTGCAGATTGTAATTGGAGTATTCTTTTTGTTCTTACTTGCGATGTTGTAGAAAGTCATGAATGTTGTAATGTAAAATTAAGTAATTCTGTTCTTTATTGCAGTAAATGTATCTGTAATGATTTCCAGTATCAGTTGAGCCACTAATTGCATTTCTGATTTACAAATGATCAACCTTCAAATATGGTTCTTGTAGCTTATACATTTCGTTTGATGACTCGAAGCTTGACTCCATGCTTGTAGTTTAGAATGATGCCATAGTCAAGCTCTAAAGGTGTCTCCATCTTGGGGGAGTGTTGAAATACATAATGGCGGTATAGGTGGATGATCGAGAGCTTTATTTCTTGCATAGCGAATTTCTGCCCAATGCAAACCCTTGGACCGATTCCAAAAGGTATGTGAGCATATGGATGCCTATTCTTCTCCTCTTTGCCATTCTGATCAAATCTTTCTGGCCTAAACTTCTCTGATTCTGGAAAATTCTTCGGATCCTTGGCTAGAACACCGGGTGCCAACCACACCCATGTCCCCTGCTCCCTCAATTGATTGCAACAATTTATTTACTTACTCAAATAATGTGTACCAAATTGATTAATGACAGTTCCAAAATTCTTACCTTTGGGAGCATATAACCTCCTATCTCAACTGGTGCAGCAGTTTCTCTTGCAATCAAAGGCGAAACTGTGTAAAATCTCATGGATTCCTTGATTACCTGCCAACAAAATTCTAATGATTTAAACATTCATCTGAAAACAAAATTCCATTAAAAATCTTTTCCTTAGAAGTTAGAACCAAACATCACCTTGGACTTACCTGATCTAGATAAGGAAACTTATGCTGAAGATCATGAGCCGAGGGCACCTGATCACGCAGTCCAAACCCATCAATCTCTTGAATTAACTTCTTCTCCACTTCAGGATGTCCAGATACTAAATACACAATAGAAGACAATGTAAAGGCGGTTGTTGCTGACCCGGCTAAGAGGTGCTCATAAGCAAGTGCACTGATATAATCTGAGGTGAACAAATTTCTTGAAACTTTCTTAGAGTCCCTAACACTCAATATGAGGGACAAGAAGTCCTTCAAATCTCTCTTCTCCTCATTATCTCGCTTCATAACAATTTCATTAAGCCGGCTACTCAAATTTTGATTAGTCCTTTCGACTTTCCAGTCCATAGTTCCTGGTATCCTCTTAAGAACCTGCCTAAATGGCTCCTGTAAGAATGGGATTAACAGGCCTAATATGATCGAAAGTGATCCAGAGAGGTCCATTTTGAGTGTGGTTGTGGAATATATATGTTGGTTGATGAAATCCGAGACTTCAGAATTTTTAGGTTGATCATTTGTTGAGTTTGGCTTAGAGAGGCCAAAGTTGATGCCAAATGCTGCTTGTCCAATAATGTCAGTGGCTAACCTGAGGGAAATATTAGAGAATAGTACGTCTTTGTTGTCGTTGTCGTTGTCGTTGCCTTGTTTGTGAGGATGGATATTGAGGTTTTGGGTTGCTGATTCTATGGAGGATTGCATGGTTGGTAGTAAACTGGCTAGATGAGAAGGTTGGTACATTGAGATTATTGTGTTCCTCATTGTTGACCACCTTGTATCCCTGCAAATTATGGGATACTTGTAATTTGGCTTTATTAATATTAAAAGTAGAAAGTTGCAAATTATAAATCATACAATAGGTGGCACTTTAAAGGGACATTCCTATAAAGTACAAGTATTCTTGATCTCTTGGAGAGTAAAAAGATAAATGTACCATATTGCCATTTTTGTAACATTACCCAAAAATGTAATTGGAATTATATCTATTTCAATGCAAGAAATTGATATTGTAAAAGATTATGAAAATGACATTATCATATGTAGAACAATGTAAAAGTCTAAAGATGCATCATTGATACAGTATTTTATTTTTTATACAAAAACGAAAATCAAGATCATTCTAAAAGTACATGTGTTAACTTATCAAAGACATTTTTTTGCCAAAATATTTTTCCTATGTTAAGATTTTTTTCATTATAGTTGAATAAAGGAATTCTAAACGATTTTTTTTTTTTTTTCACAATTTTGAAATAATACATGAATTTGAAAAAAGTATAAAGATACCGTTTCAAAATGTAACAACATTATTTATTTTTTTATTTTTTATTTTTTGTGGGATGGGTGGGGGGGGGGGGGGGCAGAGGGGGGAATGTAACAACTTCATATGGGCATAGTTTGGGCCAAAGATTAGTAGTACATTACTTTGGTGGTGGACTCTGTGGTTGTACAATTTAAAAAATCCATGCACCATGTTGGGCTAATTATGCCTCGAGAAGACATCCTTTTTTAAGGAAATTGATTTGAGCATATTAAATATTAATTTTGACGCACCTTCTTGTGATAATAGTATAGAAAATTGTACTCCTACATTGAGTGCCAAAATCAATATTTGGTGTGTCAAAATTTGTTTGACAATTCTTTAAAAAATTGATATTAGCACACTAAATATTGATTTTTGGATTTGCTTTCTAGGACTAATAGTGGATGTACAATTTCAGAAGTTCATGCACCATGCTGGGGTAATCATGCCTCGAGAAGACACATCCCTTTGCACCCTAATTGAACCTTAGGTTTTTGTATTTGGTCACTAACTAGTTGAATTTGAATGACAAGAAAAATTAGCCAAAATTTAATAAAATTAAATGCCAAAACTCAAGACTTGAGAGTATAAATATTACCTGGTGAAGAATAGACCCTTTTGGTGAAGGGGTGAAGCAGAAATAGGGGAAGGAATGCTTCTGTTAGGAATATATTTGAACTTCCTTATTCCAACTTCTCTGCATAACTCTGCATCTGCTATTATTACTAGTGGTTGTCTCCCCAAATGAAATCTACATTTTCACCACTATTCAAATTTAGGCACTCTAATAAATATTTTCAGATCAAAAAAAATTTCATACATATTGTTAACAACCCATCATATAACCAAAACAGAAGCTAAAGAAGAGAAAGATGCAAACCAAACCTGTAAATAGGGCCATAAAGCTTAGCTAAGGCGGTGAAAACGTCTGGACCATACTTAGCCATCAAAGGAAGATGACCTACCAAAGGGTAAGGTGGAGGACCAGGCACCCTTCTAACCTTCCAATATGGTGCATACAAATAGTAAATTACTAACACACTTCCTACTAATATTGCCACTAAACTTGAGGGAACTAACATGGGTGCCCTTAAAATGGAGGACACCCCTAAATCAACTACTAATAACAGCTTACTTAGAGCTTGATGCATAGTGATTAACAATATTAATGAAGGTTTAGTGAAGAGAAGAAATGGTGGTAGTAATAGAAGCTAAGCACATAAATTAAGTGGTAAGACTTTCTATTTAAGGACATATTGATTGTGTAACATATAATTTTTATGTTTGTCGGTATTGGTTATAATCATTGTAGTTTTGACACTACTTAGTGGTGTATAGGTAGTGTCATGTTTTCGCTTGATGCTGTTTATTTAGAGGAAATTTAAGGTGAGAATGGATGGATTTCTAAGAGGAGTCCAATAAGGTTTGTTTATGTAATTGATTGAAAATATTCAAGGTGATGAAGACATAACCTAGTATTTGTTACATTTGAAAAGAAATCACTATGTTGTCACGTTCACAATGAACAAGCTAGTTTATATAAAAACTCCCGTTAAAAAGTTTTATTTACAATTGGATGTGGAGGCAGGAGGCTACTCAGATGATGACATGACATAGTGATAGTAAAGTGACACACATTATCAAGTCCATATGTAAAGTATATATATATATTATGTGAAGATTGTGGACTTTATCTAAAAAATCTCTTGTTGACAAATCTTATTTATTAAGGTTGGGTGTGGAGGCTACTCCCATGGCGTATTGGTTGTAAATGACATTTATTATCAGGTCCATGCATGTTTAATTGTTTATTGTATACATATTATATGAACTCTACATGTTTTTCAGACGCTTATATATATCCAAGTGTACAATAGAAAATAGACACTTATAGGTCATGGCCACATCTAAAGAAAATCGTGAGAGGATGTTACCTTCATTAGTTAGTGGTGAGAGGCCAGTAACATGACCAATATGTTGGCAAAAGAAGGGGCAGACCAGTGTCACTAGACGCACTAGGATTGGATGGATTTAAAAGCATATCTTTAGTCAAAGTATTTATTTTAGAGGAATATGATTAGAATATCAATGGCATATGCACACATCATTTAAACTAATTAATCGTATATGATTTCTGTTATACATATTATTATTTCTTTCATGATGAAAAACACTCCTACAAGCTTTAATTAGCTTTAAAACTCTATAGTAAAATTTTAATTGTTTGGTTGTATAGAAAAATTAAGGGAAAAGAAGGGAGTGTGAATAGGGGAGGAGAGATGAAAAGAGAAAAAGTCTGGTAAGTTATTCCCGCCTTTAAAAAAAAAATGAACACATCCACCAAGAAAGTACTTGAACTATCGGTATAGGTTTGTATTAAGAGTACTTTAAGATGGGAATCACTCTTACCTTCTTACCCTTTCCCATTACTTTTAAAAGAACGTGTTTATTATGGCACATTAATTTAAGGTTCCAATCCAATAGGACACTTCTTCTTACCAACCAAAAAAAATTTCATCCTTGAATTTTTTTGATATTCAAACTTTCTCCAAATATTTAAGTGCTCCTAATCTAGACGCTAACAAAAGGATGTTTATATTAGGGCTTCTAAGCTTCTAATTTCCTAAGCAGGAAAATTGCATGATTTGCATCTCATTAAAATCAAAATTTTCTTATGACCAAGAAATTTTGAAAGATGTTGAATACAAAGTGATGTAAGCTTGTGTAGAAGATTACCAGATGCTTGAATCAAAATATGCCCAAATTAAAAGGAGCTGTCACTAAGTTGCTCTTATCCCATACTTTTAAGAAAGACAAGTTATGAGTTAAGTGGGTTGATGCTTATGACATTAAGAGGCAAAATTTTGAATTCTTTGAAAGTTTCAGATACTGTTTCTTGGTTGTATGGTTGTTAATTGAGTTGCAGACATGATAACGTTAAGAGGAAAAGATTGATTCGTAATGATCAGGCAAAGCCAAAGAGCTTGTGTAGTTTATGGCTTGTGATTCAGGACAGAATTGATTGACGCGATGGAATGTTCCGATGATATTCTTTGCTGCTTTTATGTTCAGCATGACAGTATTCAACTGAGGCCTAGCAGAAAGCGCTGGATTAGTGGCTATATACCATGTTTATAGTATGTATGCAACTGGCTGGGATTTTTGGACAAAGAGATACAGAGAGCTATCTGAACTGCTTGGAGCTAGGACTAAAGCAAAATCTACCTGATGTTCTTCGAAGATAATGTCTACTGTATGTAGTTGCAGAGGAAGGAAAGATGTTTATTACAAGTAAGGAATGTAAAACTAGTGAAACATTGTACAAGGAAGCTGTCTTTAGAGTGGCGTGTATAAGATGATTGACTTGATTCTGTGAGATAAATGGTGTTCGTAACTCTTGTTAGTCCGTGCTACAGCTATCGTTTCTGGATTTTTTAGTTGCAGCTTGTCTGCTTCTATCATTATAGCTAAGATTGCAGAAATTGGCTTTGCCTCTCCTGTTGTTAATTCAGTACAAAACCCTGCTGCAGTGTGTACAGTCGTGATTGAGGTGATTCAAAACTGAGCCTGGTTGCCTTCCGTTACAAGAATCCACGGATGCAGCTAGAAATACTTAGGAAAATTTAATGCTGAACATCTCTTTTATCTTCTTATCTAGTTATCTTCAGTAAATCAGCTCTCAGATGGTCATGTATATTTTGTGGACTACGAGTATCAAAAATTTAAGCTCCCAAACGAAAGGCTTATATTTACATGACTTCAGTCCCTAAATCCATTGTGACTGCTTCTCCTGAGTTCCTAGTAATCCAAAACTAGGAAGGAAAAGTAAAGAAAACCAGGCAATCCTTAAATTAGAAAAGTTAGATTAAGTAAAGTAACTGCGATACAGTATTGGTTTACAACTGAATCCAAAAATTAAATACAAAGTAGATGTCTAAAAATAGGCAACTTTTACACGTTATAGTGTTATTACATCGTAACAAAAATGACAGTACTTGCACCATATATGTAAACCCAATACAGATATTTATCAATCGATTATCAGCAAAAGATATATTAATCTCCTAGTTCCAACAGAAAATCATTAAAAACTCAGTTCCTTGAATCGAAATCAATTCTTCTCAAATCACGCTACCCTCTGTCATAGGATTGCCCTGCCAAAAAAACAATGAATTACATTACTGCAAAATAAACCACAAATATATCTTACTTGATTAGTAAACCAATCCTAAAGAATACAAGAAACAAACTCTCAACCGTCAATTACAGCCCCTTGCATCCTCCTGCCACCTTTCTGCATTACAAATCAAACACATCATGAGAAATGAATACCTAGTAAACTACTACATTTAACAAACCAACATACAGAAACAAACTTATACTGCTATAACATACCAATCACGAGGGGCAGAAGCAAAGCAATCGAGGCAAGGAGCCATTACAATACAATCAAAAGAAAATCACTCAGGTTTTGATCTTAAAAAACCCATTTGATCAATTAAGTCTTGTAGATCCTCACCCCAATTTGAAGGATCTGGCACCAGGTCCTCTACTGGTACATCCACCTCTTGTTCATCGCCAACATAACCTTCCCCCTCGCCTAACAAGTCCTCACTCAGTAGCTCTTCCCAGCTAATCTCACCAACACTTCCCAAATTTGCACCAACTGATGAAGGAATTGGATCAGGTTCCACTATTGGCTCCTTAACATCACTGCTTGACTCATCATCCAATGCAGCTGAGAACAAAGTCTGGATTTCTGATTCAACAGATGCCAACCCTTCAGTAGCTTCCACTGCAGCAGATAGCACTTCTTCTTGCAAGCTCTCTGCGCTTGGACTAGCTGTTAACCTCCTTTTCCTTCCAATCTCAATGCCTTCAAACACTCTACCCTGCTCATTACGTTGCATCAAGTTCTGTACAAAGGCTGGGTTTGTAAGGGCTTTGGCTAGAAATGTCATCATTTGTTGCTGCTTTCTCTCAGTAGACTGAAGTCGAGACTCCATAGTACGGATTTGCTCCCTAGAGACTTGCTGTTGCTGTCGTAGCTTCACAATTTCAGACATCAACACATTACGATCTCTCCTTAGCCTTTCCATCTCACCCTCCAATCCATAGTGACCTATCTCAACACAAGCTCCTCCTTGATGTTGAATATTTTGTCCTACATTTCTCCTCCTCTTGATGTTCCTTAACAAATGCTTTTGCCCTCCTAGAAATCCTTCATTTGCAAATTCCCAGCGATCAGGATCAACCTTTCTGAAACCCTGAAACATTTGAAATTAATAACTGGTAAGTCACTGGGCTTTAAAGATAAACATTATTTAAGGTAACTATCTCGAATGAGAAAGTATATGATAATATCCGCAATTCATCAGTCTCACAAACATGATCACTGGAACAACTAGCTGTCCATGGGTGTGAGATTGATCAATCTCGAATATTAACATAGACTTCCTTGGCTCGAACATATCACACCAGCTATGACATCAGAGAAGTCTCAACTTTTAATCATCTTGAACATATCACACCAACAATGACACCAGAGAAGTTCCAAGCAATCTTCAGTGCAATGATTCCATCAAATCTTCATATCCTAGAAGAATGATCAAAACCAATAGTAACAACTTGAAAACGATCCGACAGATAAAAGGAGCTAAATTTGCAGTCACATAAAAACAAAAATTAAAGATGAAACAAAGGGTAAATATCAAAGTTGAAAGGTCCTTTTGGCAGCAAAACCCAACTCAGGCACAGAACCTCAGAAAATATCTCCCTTGTAATGGTTATCTCTGAAGCATATTACTAACAAACAGGTAGCAGGCAACACTTCAACCCTACAAGTATCAGCAAAATTAACATTAATCATGTTAAGAATGTTGCATTTCTCACAATATACTCATCAAAATGAGCAATTCTGGATTTCTGACTGTACCCATATCAATTACTCAAACCCTAATAACATGGAAAAAAAAAAAAAAAAAAACTTTCAAGTTCCAACCAACAACCCAGCTAATTTAAGTTCACATAAACATTTCAACAAGCACATGACACCAACAAATCAAATACCCAAACCCTGAATCAAATAACAAATGTTTCAGCCAAAAAAAAATATAAATCAAATAACACAGAATTTCATACAAACTTTTCAACAAATAAATGATACCCAAATCAATCACCCAAACCTTAAATCAAACAACAAAAGTTTCATACAAATATAAACAAAACCCAACCAAGTAAAACAGAATGTCACACAAGCATTTAAACAAATACATGATACCCAAATCAACTAGACAAACCCTAGATCAATAAATCAAACAACAAAACTTTCCTCCAAACAAAAAAAAAACCCAGATCAAATAACACAAAATTTTCACACAAACATTTCAACAAACACTTAGTAGGCAACAAACATAAACCCAAAAAAAAAAAAATTGTAAATTCTTACTTACATAAGTATTCAACTGACGAATAAAGCTGGAAAAATTGTTGTGCTTGAAAAACTTAGGCAAAAGCAAAGTAGAAAACTTGATAGAATCCCAAACAATGAAGCTATTACGAGCTTTACTCCAAGAAACAATAGTATCCGTTGAAGGGTCTTCCACCATATCAAAAGTCTTGATCAAAAATGGAGGTGGACCCATTTCATGGAGCCCCTCCATGGGTCTAGCAGAGAAGCTTGATACTGATGAAGACGATGAAATTGATGATCCTGTAACCGCGTTACAGGGGATAGTTACCTCTTCTTCCTTAACAATCACATTTTCCATTTTCAGCTGAAAAACAGAGCAATCCCTAATTCTGAAATTTGGGGAAAATTAAGGGGTTTTAATCTTAATTGAAGATGGATTAATTCTGGGTTTTGGGGTTAAATTGCAGTTTGATAGTTGGAAGATAATTTAATGGCGGGAGAAAGATGGGAAGTGGGGTTGAAGAAGGTTCTAGATTGAGGAGAGAGAAAAAAACAGGGGAATTATGAAGGATGTAAGGATTTCTCAACTTCTCTTGGAAGTTTCTTATTCACTGTTTATTGAAATTATTGTTTTTTTAGGGGAATTTTGACAAAATTAAAAGTTAAATAATGGAGATGTAGCCAAGTGTAAAGTAGTGGGGTTAGATTTTTGATTTTTTGATTGTATTTTTGTGAAGTTCTGGAAAGTTCTGAAATTTATAAGAAGTAGACAACTGGGTTCAGGCATTAATTTGGACCGTTGGATCATTGTCCGGTTTGCCCCACTCATTTTTTTAAGACTATTGAAATTGACAATAAAATGACCCGTTTGGTAGGTGGTAATCGTAACACTATACCCGAGTATAATGTTTTATGCTCTTCGTTTTTAAATAATTAACATAATTAAACTTAGCACATATGTCAATGCATTACTTTGATTTTATAGGTATATAATTAAATATTAATAAAAAAATATATAAAAATGTTGATATTATGAAACTTTATATAATATTAGAGACAGAGGTGATCAAAGGGCGAGTCGGGCTGGGCCAAGGCAAAAAAAATCAGCCCGCATGCTTCGGATAGGCCGGGCTTTTCGGGTCGCGTCGAGCTGAGTTTGACCAACTCTAATTAAACTTTAACAGAGATCCGTCAGAAAATTGAAAAGACATTTACGTTTATCCAACAATAATTCAAAAGCGATATCATTAGTTTGGATGTATGTAATACTTGTATTGAGCTTTTAGATTTGGTAAGGGTTGATTGCAAGTGGTGTACGTCTTTTATTTATTTGTGAAATCACCTCTCCCTTATTACAAAAAAAAAAAAAAAAAAAAAAAAAAGCATTATTTATTTTATTATTTGGGTGCAATGCAATATGTAGGCAACATAGTGATTATGGCTTGTGATTGGTGGAAAAATGAATTAATTACTAACTGTCCCTTCTTATGGAAACATTGAGGAAATTTTATGTGTCTGAATATAAGGCACAATTATTCAATTTTTACTTACGAGTACTACTGCCGTGTCAAGCCTGCAATTCATGTGGAAAGTAATGGCCCAAAAATTCCCAACGTTTAAGAGCGGAATACCACATTTCTTTGCATATGTTGGGCCCATAAATTAATAAGATTTACTGAACTCAGGCCTTTTAAGATCGCTGGTATTAGGCCAACTTAGGATGGATCAGCTATTAACTAGACTGAATCCATCTAGTAAGGTCAACGTTGATTGGGCCTTAGCCGAGCTGAATCTGATGGACCAAGGCCTAGATATTTCATTCGCCTAAGTTGACCCTAATTCTATTCATTGTCTGAACTCTGAAGTATGAACCACTATTGTTGGCCATACTAGGTTTGTGCCCGATGCATATTTTTAACCAAAAAAAAAAAGGTGAATGTTGTATATTATTAAAGTGGTTTTGGAACCAACACATAAATTAATAGTTCATTGGAAGTGGAGAAGAAAATAAACGAAGATGTTGATGGGATGGAATGAGATGAGATAAAACTAAAACATAAGATGAAATGGAGGAGAGAGAGTTTAGCTTGGTGGTCGAAGCGATCCTTTAGAGAAAAGAAATTAGTTAAATTTTTATATCGAATTCAAATTACATCTCTAAAAATAAAAAGCATCATTGTTTAAAAAAAATAAATAAATAAATGCATAAATTTGTACGTCAGCTTTAGATTAGGCAAGAAATTTAATCCAAACAGTGTTTTATGTGTAAATGTACAATAAAATTCATATGATACTTTTCCTTGACCAGTTAGTGATTGGTATCTAACATATCTATCTAGTGATAAATTGCACAGTAGATTAAATTGATAATGCAGGTCATTTAGTTTTTGATAGTGGATTAGTGGATATTGATATTTGTAATTATTGCAGTCTATTTACTTTTTTTTTAATTTATTTATTTTTCTGATACATTAGGAATTCCCTCTCGAGAAAGGCTTTCTAATATTTATTATTTTTATGTTAATCTTGGCCGAAAATATTTTTAGAAAGGCCAAAATTTGAACCTTTAACCTCGCACGATGCCACGACATTTTAGAAGTAATTTTGCATGATTGGAATCTTTCCACTTTAATCGTATTATTTTCACCAAATTACCCCTCATTACACTTATGTTATCTCAACTTTATTATTTATTCAATGAAATTTTTTTGAACGCTAGCGCTTATATATGGTTTTCTGAATAATGTGTATTACCAAATCACATTAATCTGTATGTACTTTTATTATTTTCATTTCATATAAATTTAAGATTTGAATCAATGAAATTATTGACCTTCAGTTGGCTTATTAAATGAAACACATACTTGATTCTTAACCCCACTTTTCATAATTCATATGTGAAAAATGAAAAGACAATACATTAATAATTTAGAGATACTAGGGGTCCAACGTGCACGATGCGCGCGGTATGACTAGCCCTTTGAGAAGAGTAATTACAGTTGGCACTAATGCTCTATGACTATGTACAAGGTATTTTGTTGTATTTATTTGCATATAGGTGATATATATAATGGATGTTGTGAAACTATGCAATGACTTGGGTAGAACTACTTTAAGTTTTATAGAGGAAGTGATAAAATAAGTACAAAATACAAGTAACAAGTTATAGAAACGTATACGGTGAATAAACGTTCTCATCATCATAGTGTCATGCATGTAATTTTTGTTATCAGGCAAGGAACGAAGCAATGGTGATGCTTTAAACAAAGAAACTTGCATCCATGAGGCGACCTGACAACATGAAAAATTAAAAATAACAACGAAAGTAGAGAACAACAACAAATTAGGAAAGATAAGAGTAGTCAGCTAGTGACTGGGAGTAGTAGCAATTAGCAAGCAGGATAATATGAGAGGATAATATGCCGTGGAGGAGTTGGGTATTAGTGAAATAGAAAATGGAGAGAAGAAGAGAAGTGATGAAACGTGATTGAGAGAAGATGAACCAGACAGGCATACAAAGGAGTAAACAGTAAAGGTCAGTCTCAAATTGTAAATGAGGTTATGGGGGTAATTAGGTAAATTAATATTTTAAGGGATATAATCGTCTTCGCACTGTTCATAAGCGTTTTCTTACACTTTTTATAAAGTAGGGATGGGATATATTGTGAATTTGTGACTAATCTGGTCAAAGTGAGAAGAGATATAGAGACTAACCATCCCTCCACCCCTTATCCTCTAAATATACTCTATGATTAAATACAAGAGTCAAAATATTGATACATAACCTACCACCTTACGTCATAACGTCCATATTCGAGTGAAAGGTCCAAAATAAGCTGCACCTTAAATTAGACACGTATTACGAATTTGGTTGGCACTTTTGAGGAGAACAAATTAAGGAAAGACATGCTTCGTTGAAAAAGGTGGAAAGTGCCTTAGATATTTAGGTTTATGTCTTCTTGATGGGGTTGTAGTTGTACAAGTAATTAAAGTATCTATGGCACTTCCAAACAGGTCAAAAGAAGATGAGCTCTAATCCCTATTGTTAAGCACTAAGCAGCAATAATTGCCCTATATACAACATTTACTAATAATTCGTCCAACATTCATTTTTATTACAGTATAAGTTAGACACAAACTTAAGTTAAATTTGTATCTCTCAAACTCGAATTTTACCGCTCCGTCTTACATCTATTATCATTATTCTTAATTGCTTACTTTCTATATATGATTCCTCACTACTACATGATCATAAGGCCATCTCTTTCATGGCTGTGCTATTAGGTGATCATTATAGTATAGTAGTACATGGTAGCACTAGTTTGTACATCGGTATTACAAATTTACAATTTCTCTCATTCATAACTTTTTAAAGCTATATATGTTTGGGAAATTCGGAATAAAAGGTTGACATGAATCAATAATAAAAACTAAAACTAAATCGAATCATGGATCATGACTTAATAAGTGATGCTTAATACAAACGCTCGACCCTCAGCAATGTATGCATACATACATAATTCAATGTATTGTGTATCTTTAGAATTGTAATTTATTCAATTAATTGTACCTAAACTAGAAATAATGACAAAGGAAAAAGGAATTAATTAGGCGCATATGATGACGAAATTGAAAAGCACTCGTATAAAAGCATACAACGTTAAAAATGCAAAAGCATCAACATAATAAAGAACAATAAAAAGGAAATAAATAGCTAGAAAAGATGATGATTTTGATTGCCCCTTCTCCTTAACTAAACACAATGCAATAAACTCACGAAAGATGTCAAGTTGAAGTTGCATACATCATTATTTCATACATTACCTCATCATCTTTCAATTCATACTCAAAACAACCACTCACTAATTTGTCGACTTAATTATCTAATAAACAACTAACCTATCTAGCTAGTTATAATTCAAATTCATAATTCTTAAATATATTAGCTTAAATTTGGTTATAAATGGTGTAGTTGGACTAATCAATTGCCTATGATCAGTTTGGAAAGTTATTATGACTTGGTTAATTGTTTGCTACATGCATCCCTTTTAAAAAATATAAAAATAAATTTTTGCTACTATATAATGTTTGATTACATATGCTTTTTTTATGTTTGATACTAATAACCTCATTTTGAAAAAGTTTGTGATAGTATAAAATTTTGGGAAATGATTTCGATATATGTGTGCTCTGATTATTTTCTCATAAAAAGAACATTTATTGGTATGGTACTATGGTGGTAATTTGGTGAAAGGGTGTTAATTATTAACAACTGAAATCAGTTTTTGTATTTGTATGAAAAACTAATATTCAAAACGTGACATCGTAAAATTATGAGAAAATGCTTATGAAACTAAATACATAATGGGATGACATGGTATATTATATCATGTTTAATGTGGCTTTCAATTATCAATGTACAAATCTGCATGAAAAAACTATTCTTTTATATTAAGGAGGTGAAAAATAATTGTATTCATCAATTATCAATATAGATAACTATATACTAAGCGAATAATACATGACACGTGTCAATTTCTAAATAAAATAAAAGATTTTCCGCCAAAATTCTTTAGTGTTTTTTTTTTTCTTCGCCAAATTGTTTTAGGAAATTTCTATTTCAGTATCATATTTCCTTTTTTTATTTTTTTGAAGAGAGTATCATATTTTCCTTCCTACTTAATCATTATACTAGTATATGTTTTTTCAGTATAAAATTTTATTTCAAATCTTTTATATCACTATTTATATTAAGAAAAAAAAATGATTTGAATGTAATGCAAGCTTTCTCTTTATAGAGA